CTCATATCTGTTGTCTCCCGTGCCTCTTGGCTATTTATTGCGTTTTGACCTTTTGACCAGTCCATGTGTCATGACACGTCATCTTCAATATTTAGATTCAGTTTTTTTCCAATACAGCGCTGACGTGGCGAATGACAAATAAAAAAAGGATATATATCATTTTGAGTTTAAAAAAAAAAAGAAAAAACTATTTTAAAATTAGTAAATAAAATAAAATAACATTCTCAAAAAGAAAAAATAAACTTAATTTACACCTAATCAGAAATGACACATTATTAACAAACAAAAAAAAGACACATTAGTGTTCTTGAAATCATTGTTCTTGGTGTTCTTCGCTATCTTCATGTCTATTCTTGTTCCAACCACGATTTTAATCCAAAATTTCAAGAGAAATTCCTCCAAATTTGTTATAACTTCAACTAAAGATTCCCTACCAAGACTCTAAGACAACCCCAAAATTAATTTCTCAATTTTTCATCAAATCAAGTAACCCATTTTAAATCTTCAAGCTTTATAAAGACCCCATTAATGGTGTTTCGATTTCAAATGAAGAACTCGGACTCATTTTAGTTTTAATCCATAGGGGGCTGCTCCTGGAGAAGAGTGATGGTTGGAGATGGGTGGGGTGAAGAAGAAGGGTTCGGTGATGGGGGTTAGAAAGGAGGGTGGCAGAGGATTTGGTGGTGAGGGGGGGAGCTTGGCGGCGGCTGGTTGTTTGGAGAAGGGGCTGGCAGCTGCTTTATTGTGTGAAGAAGAAGGGTTGGTTCAAACTTTCGAGCTAAATCAATGGTGGAGGCACAACAATGGTGAAAGTGGAGGAGGCAATGTTGATGGACATAAAGAAGAAGGAGGAAATAAAAAGACAAAAAAAAATCTATTTTTGGGCTCTTCACGCGCCTATATTGGGTAAAACTCATTCTCTATGCCAACTTAGCAAGAAATGCCTAATTGGAACAAAGTTCATGTAATTTACGTGCTCATTAGGAACACCCCTAAGTTCATGTGTATAAATGAAAAATCGTGCAAACTTTAAATGTCTTCGTATGTATTCCGCCTTCATTTTAAGGTTCGGCTCATGTGCATGTCAAATAGAGGCCCAATAGAAATTTTCTAAATGTTCAAATATGTTCTGGCAAATAAGATTAAAAAAATACGAAATATATAAATAACCTTTTTAAGTTATCCCCAATCATCGGACAGACACCTCAATTGACCCATTTACTATTTTGACACTTCAAGTGTCTATTAAGTGTGTCCTGTAAACACATTGCGCTGACATAGCAAATCAATTGTGTCACATTAACAATTGAGCGCGTGAGAACTTCAATTACGTTTTTTTTATTTTTCTTTTCAGTTTAAGTTATTTTATGTGTGGTCGACACCACATTTTTTTTTTTTAATTCCAAATTATTTCCACCTTCTCCCTGAAAAATTTCGTCCACCAACAAGCCATCCTCTAGTATCGACAATCCCAACTGTTTAGTAAAGCCCAAGGTTGACCAACAATAACCAGTAAAAAATAAGTGGATTTTACCCTATTTCATCATGTCCAATAATTAGAACTCTGATTGTTATTGAAATTGGAGAAGATTTTATTTAATTGGTGAACCGACCCAGATAAAAGGGTTTATAGGAAGCAAAAAGGATGTTGAAGATCCATTTAACTGACCCGAGGTAGAGCTTCGAATCGATATGGATATATAATTATTGATTTTAACTTTATGTTTCTGCTTTTGTTATTCGAGAAGACAGCAATGGTGCTGATACTTCTCAACCAAAAGTGCAATTGTTATCTCATCTTTTCTCCCAATAAACTAATGCTTTTGTTCCGCTCTTTCTCAGCTTTCACTCAGGGAGTAGTGGCCGAAAAGGCAATCTTTAATAGTCATTGTTCAGTTTATCATTTAGCTTTGCAGATTGACTTGGAATGAAGCCACAGAGAAACACACATATTGGGTGAGTATGAAAATACTTGAGGTTTTTGTTTCCACACGGTTGTGATCTTATTGGAAATATGCAGAAGAAGAAAAATTGAGAGAAAGAAATGGGAAAGGATTATCAGGATGAGGGGTGGGGAAGAGAATGAACTTTTCTTTTATATTGAAGATGTGAAAAACGGAAAAACTTGTTTATTAGTTTTTCTGGATTTTTAATTACATGTGCAATATTTTTGTTTAAAATTATATGTCTCCTTACTTCATTGGCTCATTTGATAGTGTAACACATGCAAGGTGGCTGACTTGGTCGTATGTTTACAAGATACACTTAATATCAAAACGATATTAAAGGGGTCAGTTGAGTTGCACGTCTGATCGTTGACGACAACTTAAAGGGGTCATTTATGTTTTTCTCCTAAAAGAAATAACTTGATTGTTTTGGTGACTCCGGTAAGCCAATCAATTCAAATTGAAGTAATAATGTTAAATGTGAATTTTTTATCCTACACAATAGAGGCGGATCTAGGATTTTCGGAGGATAGGTTAATTGTTACTTTTTAAAAAAATTAAACAAAAAAGTCGATTGGGGATCCGATCCTTGACCTTAAGGCTATTGGAAATAAGAGACCAAAATCAGTGAACCACTTTATCTCTTTTGACCATGGGTTCCATCAAATATATATACATATTTTTGTCAAATTATGTACATCATATCTATACTTTAACCCGAGGACCACGGGTTCACGTGACCCATATTTTATACTGTAAATCCGCCTCTACTACACAACCATTAATATGTAATATAACCAAATCTAGTAATTCACATGGAAGATTAGGGAGCCCATAGTCTTTCTCAAAATTCTTTAGCAAAGAAGAAAGAATCGGGAAAAGTTATTCCGCCATGTCAACTCAAGTGCTATTTGACTCTTTTTGATGATAAATGACATTACAAAAAGGTCAACGACATCTTTTGCGTAAAAGATACTATATTTCTTTGGCCCTCGAATTAAAGTAAATAACTTAAGATAAAAATTAGAATATTTCAAGTAATATTTATATTTGTTAATAACAAAGTTTTTGTACTTATAGTTCCTTATTACTCCGTCCGAATTTTCATGACCAAACTTCTTGTACGCCAAGTTGGACCAGCTATGTCCGTCATTTCTTTCTCTCATAAATTGAACCAGCAAATGCTGAAATATTCTTTTGTGAAGGATTCAAGGAAAAAGATGACATTCTGCATAAAGATGTTGTTGCATCTACTGATCACCTCGTATTGGCTTGATGACTCATAATATTCTCAAAATTGATGACGTGGAGCTTCATCTCACGAAGACGCTTGGATCAAACAAACCTCTAATAATGCTACAAGCTTTGTTGCACAATATCACTTTTTATATGCGACAAAATATTTTTAAATGAGATCCAACTTTAATGAGTTTAAGGATGCAGTGAATTCTTCTATTTACCTATATGTACAACACTTTAATGACCAACACTATTCAATCATGAGCATGCAACTATGATGATCGCGCGAACTATTGAGCCATTAATAAATATATATAAAGGACTAAGAGCCCGTTTTTGATTAGCCGGAAAAAATTAGCTACTTAAAAGTACTTTTAAAGTGCTGAAACTGATTTTATAAATAAGCAGTTAAGTGTTTGGATAGAAGTGTTGAAACTAAAAAAAAGTTGTTTATGTGTTTGCTAAACAAGTGCTGGTAAGCACGCCTTTTATTAAAATGACTGAAGTAACCTTAAATCTGTTAAGGCTACAAAGGAGTTGATTAATACAAGATTTTTAATTCTCAATACAACATAATATATATTTCAGCCACTTTAAATTTAAATTGATTACCTAAGATAATATTTATAAATACAAGTGTTATTTTAGAGTTCACTCAGACACAAGAAGGGGGTTGAATTGTGTATTGCCCTTTCACGATTTCAAATAACCAAGTTTTTTGAACAAACTAACCTGACACAACCAGAATGTAAAGTGCAGAATTTAACTAACACGGCAATTTTATGTCGAAAACCCCATTGTTCAATGGAGTAAAAACTACAACCTATCCCAGTAGGATTTGCTTCAAAATTTTACTAACTTCAATGAGCAGTTTTATGTTATAACTTTATAATTAAGGGGACTAACTCTAGTACCCTAGCCCCTATAATCAATCCAATTGTAGCTAACCTTTCTCAAACTAACTCTAGTCTAGGAAATAAACAAAAACTCAAAGTTTCTATACTAATATGTGATTACACTTCTCAAAAGCAAATAGATTACAATTCGGACAATTGACTCAACCTAAACAACTAAAAAACTTCAACAACTTCGTCTTCATGAGTAGGTTCTTTAGTCGAGCAGTTTGAATCTCCAGGAGTACCTTCTTGTCGAGATTTTTATTGCATAAGAATATTTCTGAGAATTAGTTCGAATAACATGAGTCTTAAATAGATGTGGAAGGTCTCTTTATATAGGTGTGAGGTTGGACGAAAATATCCTCCAATTAATGCTCCAAAACCTAGAATTTTTCGGTTAAGACAAACATCTCCTATTTTGATTTGGTTGCTTAATTATTCCAATTCCTCAAACCTTTACCTATAATGCAAGTATTTTCATAGTTATTGACTTCTTTTCGAACAAGAATTAATTCAATTAATGTTTTCCTTGTAGTACTCGAATAGGTTTTCTTGAGGAATCCAATTTACACATGAATTCTATCTTGTCGTCAGCATTCTACACTTCAACTTTTATGAACTTAATTCTTGCATTATACATAACTTTTATGAACTTAATTCTTGCATTATACATATAACACATCTGCGCGCCAGTCTAGTAGCATAGCAACATGTCCATGAAACTTGATTCTTTCAACACAATTGATCTAGATTTGTTAATCATCAAAATATAATATATGTTCAACTTAATAATTTTCCATTTTTGATGATGACAAACCCCTATGTAAATTATTCCACTGCTCAAGTAATTCATCAGTCTTCAGCAAAAGAACCAGTTTTATTAGCAACAAAGGGACTCGCTATTCATTCATCGCAACCCTAAAGATGGCTAGGCATGATTCTATTTTAGGACCTGCAAATAGACAAACTCATTGATAGCAATTTTATTAGTCCCAAATGCTTAAGAACCAGATTTACTGATCAGTATATGTGCACATTCCTAACTTTCTCCTTTTGGCATCATCGAAGAAATTATATGTTAGTAAAGTCAAAAGTAAGATTTTAGCAATGTCAAACTCATGTCTACTGGAGCTATACTAACATGAACACAATGCCAATAGCTCAAACATTTGATCCAATAAAATTATCTAAAATAACTGCAATGCGGTGAGCCGAAATATGAGAAATTTTTATTGATTTATCAGTGTACCACACTAAACCCAGAAGGCCCAAACCAAAAGGCAGTTGAAGGGACTGGTCATAGAATCTGGTCATAGAAGGGAATCTGGTCATAGAAGGGACTAGGAACTGACTAGGACTAAACTGGAAAACCTAAGAGGACGAGGGACCGGGTTCTTTAATAGAAGAGGATTCCCATGAATAAGTGATGTTCGACTATAATTCCATATTTTTGTACATTATTTACCTTACATTTTAAGTGCTTTAATGCTAAATTATACTATATTTGTACTTAATTGAGTTTATTTTATGTGTAGATACGTTGAAGACGAAATTGAGAGCAAAATAGAGATTTTATGTGTATTTTATATACTAAAAGAATGAAGTTGTGATTATTTAATTAGGGGACAAAAAGATCGACAAAAGAAATACAAAGGAAGACAAAATAAACAAATGCAAAGAATTAAAAAGAAAGAAGTGAAATGAGAAACCTGGGCGTGAATTAGCAAAGAAGAAAGACAAGCAATCCAAATAATGTTAGGCAGCAAATCAAAGTCAGCCTTCCAGGCGACACGAGACTCATTGCTCGCGTTAGAGCTCGCGTCGCCAGGCCTAATGCCAGGCGATGCGTGTTCTGGGTTTCAAACCTATTTTGTCTCTTATTTAGTTTTGGACTTATTTATTTCGTTTGTGTCTTTTTCCTACACATATAAATAGTCATTAAATACCAATTTTAAGGGACCAGAGACCGATATTAGACCGGAGATTCGACCTAAGGAGGCAAGAACACACTAGGAGCAAGGTGGAGAATTCTTCTACGAGTTTTTCACTTCCTTCTTCCTATTTCCATTATTGGTTATGAATTCTAGTATTGTAGTTATGCATACTATTATGAATAACTAATTTGTTATCTAGGGTTTTGATGGAACCTATTGGAGAATGATTTTCCTGTTACGTTAATATAGATTTGTTGTAACTTTTTCTCTATTTGTTCAACTACGTTTATATTGTAGTTGGTTGAAGAGCTCTCAATCGACTGTGTCTATTTAGTATGTATTACTTGGGAGAGAGTGCGTATTTAGGTAGTTGTTGAACAACATTACTCCTAACGTATATGAGGGATCAATACGGAGGGTTTAAAGGTGGGATTAGGGATAACAAATCTTGGTGCTATCCGAGTGAGCCATACTTAATGCCAGCTAGCGCAATTGGGAAAAATATGTCCAGTAAATTGTGGTAGTTACTCGGTAGAATTACAACACTCAGAGTGCTCATGATCAATAGAGGATACTTAGGCGAAATTAAAGAATACGTAGCGGGAAGGATTCCGACAATTGAGGAAATCATAACTCAGACCTCCTTAATCTTGTCTCCAATCCTTATCCTTGTTAATTTATAGTTTTACTGTTTTCTAGTATTTGTTAGTTAATTAGATAAAAATAAATATATTAATCTTTATAAAGGAAATTGTTTGAACTTGTGTTGCTTAGCGATATTGAATAACTGTAGCTAAGCCTTAGTTCTCTGTGGGATTCGACTCCGGATTTTTAGTCTGAATTATATTTGCAGCGACCGCTTATACTTTTTAGGACTAGAGTTGGACGTGATCAAATTTGGCATCATTACCGGGGAACTAACGATGTAGCCCTAGAAGCTAATCAAACCGAGCAACAACAACCTCCTGCTCTTTTTTCATGTTCAGCTTCCTATTCTCCTCTTTCAGGAAGGCAATTTCCTCTTTTGTATTTTCCTCTTCCTCATTGGCAACAGCCAAATGCCCCAAAAGGTTTATGACCGTACTCTTACTTTTTGTCCCCAGTGGTCTAGCTATACAGTCACACTCTTTCAAGGTGTCTACATCAAACAAATCTTTCTTGGTCC